CACTTATTGTCTATTATGATATGATAGTGGCCGTTTGCATATGCCAAAATGTGTGTGTGATAGTGAATAAGGTCAAGTTTGGATTATAAAAACCACTACCACTACTAACTACTAACATAGCAAGAGCAAGTAGGGATTGTCCCAAGGGATTTGCAAGGTATTCTGAAATAAATGTTGGATTAGTAGGTCAAATGATCTAAATAGGGGCTTGGTTGGTTGAATTACACTAATGATTCAATTAAAAAAATGCAAACTAAAATCAATCTAGAGATTTGGGTAAGGAGAATGAGAAAAAGGTCTTGGGGCTTAGAGTTCACCACTAAGCTTCACTTCACTAAACATTAGCAATTGTCAATTTAAGGGGAGTTTCATGTTGTAAATCAAATGTGTGTGTGCTATTAATTGAAAACTAAGTATGGATGACAAATAAACATAAATTGTCCAATCAATCTAGTGAACAACACAACCTATCAAACAAAACCATTAACCATTCATTGAAACCATAATTATTGCACACACAAGAATCTAGAGAAATGTACTAATTGTACTAATAAGCATGGACCATTAAACAACAAGAATGGATTGTCTACCTATCTAGGAAATTAAAGCAATTACACTACTACTATGCTAATGACATGAAAATTAAACTAATTAAGCTAAGGAGGTAGCACAATCCATCAAGAAATAAGCATGATCCATCAAATAAACCACAAAAGTAATCCATTAAGCACCATACCTTGACCATCACTAGATTTATAATTTCAACACACATAGACATGCATCAAACTCATAAAAAATAGTGTAAAGAATATGACCATTCATTCTAGCATACATAAACATATGAATAGAATTAAAAGATTAATTGGAAACATTGATTCATACAAATCATATAAAAACACAAGATCTATATTTATTCATGGTCAAAACATCATTTACAACTAAAATCCCCAAAACTATAAAATACTAAGTTTATGAAGCAAGCCTAGGGGCTATCTCTAGCCCCAAGAGAAGCATCTAGCCACTCATGGTAGTGGCCAAGGAACCCTCAAGGGTTTTCTTCATTGTAGGCACTATCTTCTTCCTCTTTGCTTTGCTCCAAAAAAGAGAAATTATCTATTTCTATAATTGGTAAAATATGAAATTAAACAACCACCTACAAATTGGCTCATTTGATTTAAATATAACCCTCTTTGAGTATGCAACAAGTTAGAAATAAGGCCTTTTATTGGTGCAAACTCGCATCTACAAAAGTTGGTGGAGTTCGGGCGCGCTCAGGAATTAGACAGCACACTGCTAGTAGTAGTTTCGATCAATCGAACAGGACCTCGATCGATCGAAGCTGACGTGGCAAGATATTTTAGACAGCTGGCAACCTTATCCATTGAACTGGCACCGCCTTTTTTTCAATCGATTGTAGCTTCCTTCAATCGATCGGGACTTCCTTCAATCGATCGAAACTTCAACAGTGCAAATTTTCTGACTTTTTCTGAATTTTCTCCTTAGCTACAAAACTGAGCTAAAAGGCTTTTTTTTAGCCTGTTTGAGCCTTATTGACCTAAAATAGACAAAAACACAAATTAGAACTAAAATGGGAAAGTAAGATAGATGAATGGACTAAAATACCCTAACTTAGGTACTAAAATGCATCACATTTGAGCACTTATCATGATAACAATGGGGTAATAGCACAGTTTAAAGATCTAATGCATCATAAGTGTGGAAGGCACATACAGAGAAAATATTATCTCGTAAGTGAGATAGTATATTGAGGTAATGTGATAGCAACCAAGATAACATCGGAGAACAACCTTGCGGATCCTTCTACAAAGGCATTACTAGCGAAGAAATTTGATCTTCATATTGAGCGTATAGGTGTTAAATGCGGGATCAAATGACTTTGAGTGCAAGTAGAAGATTGTTAGGGTTTACATATGCCCTGTAAAGCCATTGTATGTATTATGATATTTTATTAATGAAATATATTTTATTCATCTTCATATAACATTGATGATTATGTATTTAGTAAATCAATTGATCTACATGGTCCATTAATTATGATAGGATAAATTCATGTACACAGGTGGTTGAATGTTAAAATGACCTTTTTAACCTTTGCTCACAAACCCTTCCTTCTCCCACTTTTTTCGTCAATTGAACCCTTATTATTGGATTCAATATCAGGAGACAAATATGACTTTGGATCACTTGGTTCAGATAGAGCTAGAAATCAATGTTACAGTATGAGGTATGGACCAGATAGCTTGAGCTGCCAACCGCAATAGAAGATCCAAATAGAAAGCAAAATCTTTATCTTTCATCACTCACAACGGGAATTGCTTTTGTAAGCAGCACATAAATAAGGACAGTTTAATGAACCGTATCACTTACTCCTTATATTTAGATTGCTTGAACAGGGATTATTTCTCTATCAATTGTTCTGTTCCCAGGTCTTTAGCCCAGAACACTCCCTCTATTTCTTCCGTCACTATAAACTACCCCTAAAACAATAACCCTCAATTAACAAGCCTTCAGATCCTTTGTCCATGAGTATTGTGGAAGATATGAATTTGGTCTTGCTGACTAATATGTATTTGCCCACGTAAGGCAGTCAAAGAAGGTTTTACAAACCCTTGTATGCTTTTGTGAAGATGCGCGTATAGCCCAGTCGCCGTCGGGATCCGGATCATCCAATAAGACGGCACCGATTGCGTAGTCTTTTCTGGAGCACCACCATTTGCTGTCCCTCATCTCCGGTTGTCAAAGCCACCAACAACATCGTGAACGTTGTCCCAAAATCCACCACCATCCCACCTTTACCTCCTCTATCAACCCTTTTCATGCCCTCCCGCGTCGGAATCAACCACTTCCCATACCGATCCACAATAAGTGGACTCATTCCTCATCGAACGAGGGAGAAACTAAACAATAAGAAAATCGATTACCCAATTGAGGAGAGAAGGTGGAGCTGAGCCAGCAAGGACAGGAGTCCACGGCTGAACCTTGCAATGTCGATGGGCTCGGCGAGGGCGAAGTGAGCGTAGTCGAAGGTGAAGATTCAGAGAACTAACACCGGCGATGACATGGGTATCAATAAATTATCACTATGCGAACGAGCAATGAAGCTTCCGTTGTTGTAAGCGTAATATAACGGTGGGCAAGAGAAGGAAGCACAATCCGATATCTCGATTGTTTCCAATGGGCATCATGGTTTAGAGATCATAAGAGGGAAGAGAAGAGTGGTCGGTAGCTTGGACGACTGGTTATTCACCCGCTGGTGACTAAAGAGAGAAAGGCTGAGAGTAGAGAGAGAAGAAGAGTTTTTGGGTTAGGAAGTAGGGGAAAAAGAAGGGGAATTTTGGGTCAAAAAAGTATTGGGTATTAGGTTTGGAGGTAGAGATGAAGGTGAAGGAGAACAGGGTGAGAGAGAGAAGAGGGCAATTGTATCTTTTTATTATATATGATATTTTATAATAAATTTGATTTTAATATTAAGGGATAATTTCATATTTTCAGAAGATTTAAGCCTTATTTGAATATAATTTTATGCAAAGGGTGTCTCAAAATAAGCTAAGTTTTATATTGTCTATTTGGCAAACCGACTTTACTCTAAAATCTAAGGGCGCGAATCATCTGCAGTGAGGCTCCCATGCAGTTTCCTGCTGTAACTTTTAAGTGGTCCATATTTGGCCACATCATTCTTCAGCTAACGGACACTAAAGCCGTATTTGGCCAATTACACCACTATTTATAAGTAACATTTCACCACCATTTATAAGTAATATCACATAGTCTAAAAAGTAATGTCACATATAAACATAACTCAATTCAACATATCATTTATGTTATTATTTGAAATTAAAAGTGGTGATGTTTCCTTTTACAAATGGTGATATTACTTTTTAGACTTTGTGATATTACTTATAAATGGTGGTGAAATGTAAAAATAGTCTAAAAAGTAACATCACCACCATTTATAAGTAACGTCACAGAAGTCTAAAAGTAATATCACATAGTTTAAAAAGTAACATCCCCATGTTTTGAGTGTGAAAGATACTTATAAATGGCGGTGATGTTACTTTTTAGACTATGCGATATTACTTTTAGACTTCTGTGACGTTACTTAAAAATAGTGGTGAAATGTTACTTATAAATAGTGGTGCAATTGTTATAAATGGTGGTGATGTTACTTTTTAGACTATGTGATATTACTTTTATACTTCTGTGACGTTACTTAAAAATGGTGGTGAAATATTATTTATAAATAGTGGTGCAATTGCCAAACACAGTGTTAGTGTCTATTAAGTAGAGTAAAACGTGGCCAAACCAAAACCTCTTAACTGCTCACTGCAGGAAACTGCATGGGAATTGCACTTCAGGTGATTCGCGCCCAAAATCTAATTGGGCGAATCACCTGCAGTGAGGCTCCCATGCAGTTTCCTGCTGTAACTTTTAAGTGGTCCATATTTGGCCACATCATTCTTCAGTTAATGGACACTAAGGTCATGTTTGGCCAATTACACCACTATTTATAAATAACATTTCACCACCATTTATAAGTAATATCACATAGTCTAAAAAGTAATGTCACATATAAACATAACTCAATTCAACATATCATTTATGTTATTATTTGAAATTAAAAGTGATGATATTTCTTTTTACAAATGGTGATGTTACTTTTTAAACTCTGTGAAGTGTAAAAGTAATATCACATAGTTTTAAAAGTAATATCACCACCACGTTTTAAGGGCGAAAGATATTTATAAATGGTGGTGATGTTATTTTTTAGACTATATGATATTACTTTTAAGTTTTTGTGACGTTACTTAAAAATGGTGGTGAAATGTTACTTATAAATAATAGTATAATTGCTAAACACAGTGGTAGGGTCTATTAAATGAAGTGTCTATTGAGTGGGAGTAAAACGTGGCGAAACTAAGGCCACTTACTGCTCTAGGAAACAGCACGAGAATTGCACAGAAGGTGATTTGCGCCCAAATCTAATTGGGTTCACCATCCGAACGGTTCACAATAGTTCTACAGCCGAAGCTTAAACATACGAACCCTAAACCCCTGCCCTTCTTCCTTGTGTCTTGCGACTGCAATTCACTGCCACGTCCCTATAGCAGAAGAATCCTTTGTTTTGTCCTCTGACACATATACATATTAATCTTCATGCCTTCTCTCACTATATCCGAATCTCTGTCCTCCGAATTTCCCAAAGACAATATGGAGAAGAAGAAGAAATTGAAGAACACAAGTATTGAAACCCTAGAATTGAATTCTTCGACCGACAAGAAGGCCAAGAAGGAGAAAAAGTTGAAGAACACAAGTACGAGCTCGAATGCTTCTGAACCCGAAGAATTGGAGAAGAAGAAGAAAGAGAAGAAGCGAAAGGCGTTGGACGTTGATGGAGACGAGGAGGAGGATAAGAGTGAGACGAGCTCCGAGTTGGGCGAGCCCATTAATTCGAAGGCGGTGAGAGGTGGTGACTCGGTGAAGAAGAAGAAACAGAAGCTGATGGAGGAGGTTGTTGATGAGGAGGATGCGAAGAATGGTGGTGGAGAAGAAGATGAGAATCCGAATGCGGTTTCGAAATTTAGGATATCTGCGCCGTTGAGAGAGGCGCTGAAGTTGAAAGGGATTGAATCGTTGTTTCCGATTCAGGCTATGACTTTTGATACCATTTTGGATGGTTCGGATTTGGTTGGACGGGCACGTACTGGTCAGGTACAAATTTCTTATAGCCATTAGTCTATATTTGGGCTATTTTGGTTGATGGTTAGTATTTTGCTATTTCTCACATTACAATTTATCATTTGGTTGGCGTGATTGCGTAGAATACACTTGTTCATAGGGGCGGTATACACTTGTTCATAAAGGCGGTATTATGCAATTACTTTCTCTTGAATTTTTGTAGTTAATAACATGTATTGAGATTGCAAGTATACATATGATAACATGGAGCAGAATGGTGAAATAATGAGGGTTTTACTAATTTGAGTATTATCAAGCTTGATTAATATTGGGTTTTTTGCCGGCATGTGCTTACCCTAATATGGCTGTTAGTAACTTGTTATTTGGAGTTGCTATATCTTGTCCTTCATTGCATAAATGGTTCCAAATCTCTTTCTTGTATTGTGTACTGAATACTAGATCCTTTTGGTTTGCTTTCAATTATACAGGGTAAAACATTGGCCTTTGTGTTGCCTATATTAGAGTCATTAATAAATGGGCCCACAAAAGCATCACGGAAGACTGGATATGGGAGGGCACCAAGTGTTCTTGTACTTTTACCTACTAGGGAATTAGCCACTCAGGTATTACATGAGAACTCCAGCTTGAGGAATTACTGCTTTTCCCACAATTTTCTTTTTAAATATCTGCTGTCTATTTTCTTGTTATTTGCATTTTTATATTTTATATTTTTGGTAGGTGTACAGCGAATTTGAAGTTTACAGTGGGGCATTGGAGCTAACTGCATGCTGTTTATATGGGGGAGCTCCTTACCAGGCTCAACAGATTAAATTGAAAAGAGGGGTCGATATAGTCGTGGGAACACCTGGCCGCATCAAGGTAATCTTCTTCTTAAACTTAGTTTTAGCTTTAGTGGTGTGGACGGAAAATTTCCCACCAATCACAAGACACCACATGTCAACGAAAAAGAAAAGGCCCAATATTGGTATGTTGGTCCAGGGGCCAATATTCAGCCAAAGCAACTAGTAGTCCAGAAAAAAGACACTGAACTTCAAGTCAGCCCAAATAGAGAAAGCAAAGTCCAGTCAACCCAACCCAAAGTCAAAACGCACTAGAAATAATGCTCATCATAAAAGGAAATCGCAAAGAATCAGGAGGGATGAATGCCCACGTACAAAACAATCGGTAACGGTTCCATATAAATCTCTTTTTAAAAATATATAAAGAAGGGGGCAAGACCCAAATGAGGGTAGAGTCCTTTTCACTTGTGTTCTTCCATAAACTTGTCTCTCTTCCCCATTGTTCTTCAGTTATTTATTTTGAGCAATCTTGTATTGAGTGTTCGGGTGTTTAATTCCTCAAATTGGATTTAGTGTTCAGTTTGAGATTTTTTGCACCTACTTTGGCACCGTTTCTACAAAAAATGCCTCTCACTATCACTTTACGTGCGACATTGCTCCGGAATGATGACATGGTCAGATGCTATTTAGCTACAACAATTGGAAATCATACAGAAGATGTGCGAGGAGATGTAGGCACAATTTGACACCTTACGCCAAGCCAATGAGGCCAACGCTGAACAGATCAACGCCTTAAGACAGGCCAACGTGGCTAGCGCAGCGCAAATCAATGCTTTGCGACAAGAGAACGAGGAACTTCGGGCTACCACCTGGTAGGCCAATCCACTCCCCTGAGTGGAACATCAGCCAGCCCCGCTCGGTCCTCAACCCGAGCATTAGAACGAACGGTTAAACCTGCCGCCAGCACCACAGGTCCAAGGACTCAACGATCATCCTCAATAGTCGAAGGCCCCTCGGCAGGCACCAAATCTTAACATGCCACGTGCTGCCTTAGATCGGCATGACAGAGACGATACAAGTCAATCCCGTGCCATGGCGGACTCCACATTGGGAGGACCGCGAGTAACCCTGACTCGAGCCTTGGAAGATCACGCCAAATTAGGAAGACGAAATACCTGGGCTTCGGATGAGAATCACCAATTGCCAGGGAATGACGTACTAGCAAATTTTTGAAGAGAAGTAGATGAACGGATCAAAGGACTGAATGCCCAGACACCCGAGGACATTACAAGAGAATTCACTGCCTCTATAATCAAGACTCCCTTCACGGATGAAATAGAGCAGGTCGAAAGACCAAAGAAATTTACCATGCCAAAGTTTATTAAATTCAACAGAACTGGAGATCCTTTCCAGCATCTAGACCATTATAGCCAGGAGATGACTCTAGAGGTGTGAAACGACCTTTTCATGTGCAAAATATTCCCATCCAGTCTAACAGGAGTGGTGTTGGAATGGTTCAAGAATCGACCACACAAATCCATCTCAAACTTCGAGATGTTATGCACAGCCTTCTTAGCCCAATATTGCGGAAACAAGAAGAGAAGAAGACCATTTCCAGCCTCTTTACTATATGACAGATGAAAGGAGAAGGACTCCAAGCTTCCTCACTCGGTTCAATATGGAGTCTTCTGGCATTCCAGATTGCAATCAGGCCACAGCCATAGAGGCATTCAAAATAGTCATGATCCAGGGCACAAGGTTCCACTCTTCGTTAGTAAAAAAGACTCCATCAGACATGTTGAAACTGAATGTGAGGGCTCAGAATTACATCAGACTCGAAGAGAACGAGATGACAAGGTAGCAGAGGGCAACGTTGGTCACAGTAGAAAGTTGGCCAAGAGAACGGCCGAGTATTCCAAGAGCTTAATGAGAACCACCGACTATCGAAAGCAGAGCTCCTGAAAAAAGATCACGAACGACATAAAGGATCACACCACTCAAAACCACACTAGCCAAGCTATACCAGGAAACCAAGGGTAGGAAGATATTCCAAGTCCCTCCTCCAATCAGACAACCAATGGACCAAAGGGATCAAAGTAAGAACTGTGCCTTCCATAGTGATTTTGGGCATCTAACCAACGATTGCAGGAGCCTGAGGAGACAAGTGGAGGCTTTGATAGGCAAGGGCGAATTAACTGAGTACCTAATTGATCCGGGCCATCAGAAGTCGTTTAAGCGGGCCTGACCGACCTTGAAGGCAGCAACAGACAATCAACCTGTTCGAGTCATTAGTATGATCCACAGTTGTTCAGAGGAAGACGAACAATTAGAAAATTCTTATTGGATACAACTCAAGCAAGCCCACAAATTACAGAGGATTAGGGAAATCAACACAGTTGAAAATATATTGGGTTTCACCGAAATCACTTTCCATGAAGGAGACCTCAAGAGGGTGCAACAGCCGCACGAGGATCCTCTAGTAATCAGCCTCTTAGTAGCAAACTCTCTGGTCAGAAAAGTTTTAGTCTTAATTGACCTTGGAAGCAGTGCCAACATTATAACCAAATGGACATTTGATCAGCTGAAAATCACTCCAGATCAAATCTGTCCCACCAGAAATTCCTTTGGTAGGATTCAATGAAAGTCGAGTTGAACCAATGGGCGTAATCACGGTTTCTGTCACCACAGCCAAGAGAACTCTGAGGGAGAACTTCGTGATTGTAGACATCTATCCAACTTACCATTTGTTCATGGGAAGAGGCTGGATCCATCGAATGAAGGGGGTCTCCTCAACTCTGCATCAAGTCATGAAGTGCATTGGCCCTAACGGTCGAGAAGTCATAGACATTTGGGGAGACCAAGTAGCGGCAAAGGAATGTTACCACACTACCATCAATCCGGAAGACGAAGTGAAGCAGGCACTGAAAAAGCAATCACAGAGCCCCTCGGCCCCTGAGAAGGATGAGGAACTGGGGGAAGAGCAACCAAAGAGCCTCTAGAGGCTGTGCAGATAGTTTGCAGGAGACAAGCTGAAAGTAACTTATATTGGGTCACTCCAATCATCCAAAGAGGAGGCCATAGTAGAAATCCTAAGACAGAACACAGTCTTAGGATATGCCTGGTATTGATCCAAAGGCAGCATGTCACAGTCTGAATGTAGACCCAAGCTACCGCCCAGTGAAACAAAAACAAAGAAGATTCGCCCCAGAAAGGAACATAATTATTTCAGAAGAAATCGATCGGCTCCTAGAAGCAGGATTTATATGGGAAGTATAGTACTCATAATGGCTGTCTAACGTGGTTGTCGTTCAAACCAAAAATAGCAAGTGGAGGGTTTGCATTGACTTCACCAACCTGAATAAAGCCTGCCTGAAGGACAGCTTTCCACTCCCGAAGATCGACCAGATGGTAGGTGCTACAATCGGGTATGAAAGGCTGATTTTTCTCGATGCTTATTGGGGTTACAACTAGATTTCAATGAACCCAGCAGATGAAGAGAGGACATCATTCATCACTGAATGAGGGACCTACTATTATAAAGTGATGCCATTCGGGCTGAAGAATGCAGGAACAACTTACCAACGGCTGATTAATAAAGTATTTGAAAAATAGATTGGGAAGATAATCGAGGCCTACATAGATGATATGGTTGTCAAGAGCAAGAAACGGAGGGATCACATACAACACTTATAGGAAGTGTTCGACACCCTGGGGAGAAACAAGATGAGACTGAATCCGGCGAAATATTTCATTTGGGGTATTCTTAGGCCAGTTCCTAGGCCATTTGGTGAACAAAAGGGGAATAGAGGCCAACCCTACCCAACTAGCAAAATTGCTATAGAGTAAAGAACCATTGACTATGAAGGATGTTCAGATGTTAACTGGAAGGATATCAACCCTCAGTCGCTTCATCTCCAGACTATCAGACAAGTGTAAACCATTTTTTGACGCCATCAAATCAAAAAAGGGAGAAATATCGGGGAGGGAACAACGGAAAGTCCTCATTAAACTTAAAGAATACCTGATCAATCCTCTCATCTTATCCGCCCCGATGCCTGAAAAACCTTTATACCTCTACTTGTCAGTATCTCAAACGGTAACCAACTCTGCCCTGATAAGAGAGACTGACAAGAAGCATCACCCCATATTCTACTCCAGTAAACTATGACATACTCCGAAAGCAGATACTCGATGGCCGAAAAAGTAATTCTTGCCCAAATCCAAGCAAAAAGAAAGATCAGACATTACTTCGAAGCGTAGCGGATAATAGTCTCAACAACTCACCCGATCAGAGCAATTCTTAGCAAACCAAATCTCTCCGGACGAATAACCAAGTGGGCAATCGAATTACATTCTTTCGACATACGATACGAACCTCGCATAGCGAAGAAAGGACAGGTGGTCGCAGATATCCTCCCAGAAACTGATTCAGAAGTTGAAGAACAGATTCCAGATAACCCTCTCTGGGAGCTGTATGTAGATGGCTCCACCAAGCAGAAGGGAGCAGGGGGAGGATTGGAAATCAGAACCCCAAAAGGAACCAAACTCCACCAGGCAATCAAGCTAGAATTTTCTGCCACAAATAATGAGGCAGAATACGAGGCGATGTTGGCAGGGCTGAGGTCGGCCAAAGAGCTCTAGGTAAAAACTCTACAAGTTTGTAACGACTCACAACTTGTGACCAGGTAGGTAACAGGTGAGTACATCCCCAGGGAGGAAAGGATGAGCGCATATAGACAAGAAGTAGAAAAACTAGCTAAGAATTTTGACACAATCAAGTTTAGCAAAATTCCGAGGGAGGAAAACCCCACTGCCGATCGCCTGGCCTATGTTGCTTCTGGGCAGACGACTCGATGGTCAGGATTGTTCCTGTAGACATCCTAGACACTCCAAACATCGTAAAGCCATTACAAGTGTTGGTTTAAGGAACCAAGCTGGATGGATCCAATTCTGGCATACTTAGAAAGAGGGGATCTCCCCGACTCAAAAGAAGCGACTCGGCAAATAAGATTGAAAGCTACGAAATACTCGGCTATTAACGGGCAGCTCTTCAGACGCTCGTTCTCGGGACCATACCTT